AGAGTCAAGAGGGAGTTCTTTAGAGAGGTGATAAATATATTTTGAAAATATTTCACAGTAATCTTTCTTTTATTAGGTTGTTCTTAAAGTAGTGGACTTCTGCAATGTAAGAAGGTAAATTGCTCAAGTTAAAAAAGAAAAGAAAAAACCATTGGTGAGACGGGGCTCACCTCAAAAATGTCTTGGGCTCTTTGGGTGGCACTGGCTGTGGAAGAGGTTTGCTGCTGTTGAACTCAATGTCGTGCACTGGAGAATTAGGAATGGGATCCAGGCGGTTAGGATGTCCATTGCCCACTCCACCGGATTCCAGAGCACTTAGATTGGGAACACTCACAAACCTGTTTGTTGGTGATTTATCATTCTTCTTCTTTTGCTGCATTAAAAATAATACATGTGAGGATAGTCCCTGCGTAAGGACAAATGAGAAAATAGGCATAGGAGAAAACAGAAATTTGGCATGGGTAAATTTTGGAAGCTTTATGTTAAATTAAGATGTTAAGATTAACTGGTGTTACCCAAACTGTGGTCTGGGAATCCTTGGAGGTGTTCTTTATCTACATGGAATCCTCAAAGGACAGAAAGAATGAGGAAGAAATACTTAGGAGTGGTTTATGGGGAGGGGAGGAGGAGGCAAAAAGGGGGCCAAGAGGTAAAGAACACTGGGAGCAAAGGGGAAAAGAGAGGGGGAAAGAGCAGGTCTTGCAGATACCACAAGGTTAAATGGATTCAGGCTAAAGTTGGGAGAAGGGGTAAATTTAAACATAATTTTAAGAGAGGTCCATAAAATTTAGCCATCTGTCAAAGGGAGGCAGTTCTTGCCTGGAAAAAAAAAAGGAATGAGAAAATGCTTGGCAATGTAGTTTGAAACAAATCTTACATTTCTACTTAAGACCTAAAGCTGGCTTAGAGAAATAATTTGGTTTTAAATACAATGTGACATCTTTCTGAAGAGAGAAAATTAAGTCTGCATAGTTAAGTCTAATTTCCCAATTAATTTGCAGTATTAATGGGGAGTATTAATTAATCATATTTTTCAAAGTAAAGGTTATAAAATAGTAACCAATATTTTTTATTGTTTTAATCCATCTTTAAAATTAACAGATAGGCTGGTGTGGTGGCTCATGCCTGTAATCTTAGCTCTCTGGGAAGCTGAGATGGGAGGATCACTTGAGCTTGGGAGTTCAAGACCAGCCTGAGCAAAAGTGAGACTCCATCTCTACTAAAAATAGAAAAATTAGCCAGTCGTGGTGGTGCTCGCCTGTAATCCCAGCTACTTGGGATTGGCAGGAAGATCACTTGAGCCCAGGAGTTTGAGTTTGAGGTTGCTGTCAGCTAGGCTGA